AGGAGAAACAGCATTTTTCTTTAAAAACAATGTTGTTAATATTATTGAAATATTCTATATTTATTTTGAACACACGATATAAATATATATATATATATATATATATATACATATATATATATATGTATGTCAAGAGGCAGCTTTCAGGACGATTTTTGGCATGAATCGGCAATTTTAAGGACTTTCGGTGTTTTTCAGGTCGGTCCTGAAAACTGTATATGTATATCGGCAGTTTTAAGAACTATTCTGAAAACTACCGTTCTTTCATTTGTTTATATAAAGTCCTTAAAACCACCAATAGATACAAAATTTTTATACAAAAAATGTATAATTGTTATTATTTACAAGATAAACTTTATATATGTTATATATGTTTATAAAGAGTTTAATTACAATACTAACTAATTGATAAATCTTATATAAAGTAAATATATAGTCTTTTAATACATTAAATTTGTTAAGTTCTTATAACTGCCATTGGACATGTTTGCAAACATATGAATAAATGATTAAGAGAAAATTACAGTTTTGATTTATGTTTTTTTAAAAAAACTAATTAAAATTGTTATAAATTGGGATCAATATTTAGATATTTTGGTATTAGCTTGTTGAAAACTACAAGTTTTTAACTTGTTGAAAAATAATCTGAAAACTGCCCCATTCTGCTGCTATATATCATATAAATCTGGAAATTACCATTTATGCCAGAACTTTAATACTTTTATCTTTTTACACATCTCTTGTGATTTAAATAACTCATAAAACCCTTATGAACTTCTAATATCTCATTAACTGTAACAGAATCTCTCATTAACTTTAAAAGAATGAGCTCTTATGAAAAAGTTGTAAGTTGATTGGCCACCTAACCGTGTCGTCCGCTATTAGTTCAATTTTCAGTAAATAACAAAGATAGAAACTATGGTCGTGTGCATACGGGTAGTGTTTTCGAACGCAACCCTCTTGAGTATAGTTTCGGAACGCGGAAAGAGAAGAAAAAGGCTGCAAAGAAATAGGCTAAGAAATAGGCTGCAAAATATATAGCAAATGTATCGAAATAGATAACAAAATATATTATAAATATTTAATTTTTTGCGTGAATTTTTAGATTTTTTAAATATCTATATCTATACTTATATTTTAAGTAACTATAATGTAATAAATTGTTTTGTACTTTTAGGCATATGTTAAAAGAGCTTTTAAGGTTAAAAAATTTTATTAATTTAACAGAAACAGTTACAATAAATATATGACAAATATATGTGCATGCATTGCATTGCACAGCATGCATTGTATATAACAATTACATTGTTGACGGAAATAAAACATTAAGGTTATATTATTGTCACTTAGTGTTTATTGGGTAGGATATGTTAAATATAACAATTGTAAGTAATGTATATAAATATAGTTTTAAAAAAGTTACACGGATCTCGAAAAAATTGCAAACAATCAGATGAATGATACCAAAAGTATGCTTAAAACGAATAGATCTCAATACCACTTCAAGTTCTATCGAAAAAGATAACAAAGGTAACCGAAAAGATTTTTCATTTATTTTATATATCATTTTTATTTCTTTCAAAAATATATAAATGATTTTTTAGATATTGATACTAATTTGTCAAGAAATGGAGTTCTATATGAATCTAAAAAAAAAGCAACCAGCAAGGTACGTGTTTTAATCCATTTTTATATAAACTTATTTTTTTCATAAAAGTCGAGATATTTATCTTTTATTTAGCCTTCTTTTCATAAAAATACCAGTTATCAGTCATTCGGTATAATTATAGTTCCTTTTTCAGATGTTCAATCAGGTATCTCCGAAACCAATTTTTGTAATACATTTTTTGAATTGCTGATTGACAAAGCAGATGACAATACAGGTGATATAACTTATTTAAATATTAAAATGTTATATTTACACAAGCATGGCATGATTCATACATGATACATGCATTAACTTAATGCATTATCATTTTTGGTAATAATACTAATTTTGATACAAGTACATTTCTGAAAGAATTTTTGGAAATTTGAAGTAAACAGCAAACATAATCAATCAATAAAATAAAATCTCTAATGCATATTCAGATTTTATTATCACAATTTTGTAATTAGATTATATAATTAATGTTACCAAATATTTTAATTTGCTAGTAAATTTATTATGAATTTCCACAAGTTTAAATTATTTTTCAGATTTAAATATTCATTTTCCTGTAAACGAGATTTTGGACACATCTTTAAATACTTTAATAGTAGAAATAAATGACCAAGATAATGAAACGACAGAAATAATAAATAACTCAGATGGTAAAGTATAATGATTTAATTGTTTTTATGTAAACTATGTTGCAATAATCTATGTTGTTTAATCTATGTTGCAATAATAATTCGATGCAATCTTGTAACAGCGAATGCAACAATACAGATACTGTATTACGACCTAGTTTACCTCTAATGTCAAATGTAACAAATTTTTTAATAGCTAATGCAATAAACAGAAAAAAACATAGAAGATAAATTATTAAAAAATATAAACAAAAAAAATATTTAATACAAATAATTTAAAAAAAGGAAAATATGAATCATTGGATGTAAAATATCTTTAAACACAGAAAGAATGGTTTATTTAATAATTATTAGAAATAATAATAATATTAACTCTTCCAGCCTCTGACAATAAATTGTACACTTTGGAATTTGTGTGTTCTCCGATACTTTTATAATATTTGTAATCTTTTATTAGAACTTTTTCTGTTTCACTTGCTCTTCTTCTGTTATAAACTTGCATAGAAATGAGTGTTACTTTTAATAATTCTAACCATATGTTGTAATTATAAGATTTAACAAGCTCATTATACAATATACTTTTTTTCTTTCAAATAATTATATAATTTCTACATATCCTTCATACTTCGTAATTCAATTTCACCATGTCTTTTATTTTGCGTTACAGTTTCCTCTGCTATTTTATTTATTGTTGTTCCATAATCTTCTTCTAAAAGTTCCAAGAAATTTTTTACATTCCTTAAATTCTCATTATCATCTCTTTTTATATATTCAATACCTAATAAGTTTCCCAATTTTTTTAACAGGGTACCAAGTCGTATAGCAACAGACGGTGTTTTAATTTTATTAGTATCAGGATCAAATTGAGCCACATCTTTAGTAGCTAAAATGCATGAGTCATAATGGCGTGCTTGATATATTGAGGCAAAATCAGTGATATTTGAATTAAATTTCCTAATAGAAATTAAGTAACGACCTAAAAGTCTTAATTCTGCTCTTATCATATCATGATGACGCTGATTCCTAAATTTTTTACATAATTTATTTGCGCGAAGTATCACTAATTCATCATATCTTATTATTTTACACACGTTGTCATCTCTTAAAATTGGGAAGATTACTTTTTTAACCATATCACTGGCTTTATTATGTATTCTTTAAGTTTCTTTAAATGATTACTTTGATAGAAATTTGCCCATCTTAGAATAGAGTAATTTCCGTAATTTTCTAAAAGAAGATTCAGTTCTCACGAATTCTTTTTATTCATTTAAACAACCGATTTCTTTCCGCAGATTAACAAAAATCGATATGCAAAAATAAAATTATGAATCATGTTAAACGGATAATGCCACATGCTGATAATAAAACATAAAGCAAAACATGTAACAAGAGCTTTATAAAATATTTGAATCACATTTAGGAAAATATTAAAATTCTCGCCCTAGTGGTAGTTTCCAGGTCTATATATTGGAACGGAATGGCAGTTTTAGATCGTTTAGTTTTTAACAACAAAATACCGAAATTATTAAATATCTTTAAATGATTACTTTGGCAATATATATTTTCAAATCATTTAATTTTTGATAAGGAAAGATCGAAGTATCTGAATATTAATTCCAATTTAGAATATTCTTGATCTTTTTTTTTAAAGAGAAAGTAAACTAAAACTATAATTTTCTTTTAACCATTTATTTTTGTTTTCAAAAATACGACAGTTATACGAACTTAACTTTGCTTAAAATGTCATATTTAAAATTATAAGACTTGGAAGCTGCCTTAGCATATATTATAATTTTGACGAAAGGGTGGATTTCAGAACCTGCATTTTTATACAAAATTTCACCCTTTTTCTATTTAATACTGTATCTTAGTAATTCATTAGACTTACAGTTAATATAATTTTTTACGTGAAACTAAAAAGAATTCAGTAAAAAGAAATTATTCGCTTTCTTTCATTCAATTAAAACCATTAATAGATACAAAATTTTTACACGAGAAATATATAACTGTTATTATTTATAAGATAAGCTTTATATATTGTATATATTTATAAAGAATTTAATTGCTATACTAACTAGTTGATAAATTTTATATGAAGTAAATATATAGTCTCTTAATACATTAAATTTGCTAAGTTCTTATAACTGCTGTTGGGGGAATAAATGATTAAGAGAAAATTACAGTTTCGATTTACGTTTTTTTTTTAAAGAATGATTAAAATTGTTTTAAATTAGGATCAATATTTAGATATTTTGGTATTCACTTGTTGAAAACTACAGTAAAGTTTTCAATTTGTTGAAAAATAATCTGAAAACTGCCCCATTGTGCTGCTACATATAAATCTAAAAATTACCATTTATGCCAGAACTTTAATACTTTTACTTTTTTATACATCTATTGTGATTTAAATAACTCATAAAACTTTTATGAACTTCTAATATCTCATTAACTATAACAGAATCTCTCATTAACTTTAAAAGAATGAGCTCTTATGGAAAAGTTGTAAGTTGATTGGCCACCTAACCGTGTCGTCCGCTATTAGTTCAATTTTCAGTAAATAACAAAGATAGAAACTACGTTCGTGTGCACACGGGTGGTGTTTTGGAACGCAGCCCGCTCTCAAACAGTTATAATAAATATAAGACATATATATTTATAATAAATAATGTATTCTTTGAGTAAAAATAAAAATATGTACAAAATAGTACATAAAAAAAGAAAAACCAAAGGATGGATAATATCTAGCAGTAAGTAAAATCTAGCTAAAGTATAGAGAAAATTATCTACAATTATATATATGTATTTAATGAATAGTAAATAACAATAACATAACATCAATATTATAATTTTCGCCTCAACAATAATGTAATTGCAATGTAGCATGCATTGTATGTAACAATTACATTGTTGAGGGAAATAAAATATTGATGTTATATTACTGTTACTTAGTGTTTAATAGATAGTACTTGTTAAATATAACAATTGTAATAATGTATATAAATATTGTTTTAAAATAGTTATATGGATCTCGAAAAAATTGCAAAGAATCTGATGAATGATATACCAAAAATATGTTTAAAACGAATAGATTTGGATACTACTTCAAGTTCTATCGAAAGTGATAACAAAGGTAACCGAAGAGATTGTTCACTTACTTTATATATCATTTTTATTAAAATATATAAATAATTTTTTAGCTGTTGATGCTAATTTGTCAAGAAATGAAGTTCTAGATGAACCTATAGAAAAGAGCAATCAGCAAGGTGTGTGTTTTAATTCATTTTTATATATACCAAAAGTATATTTAAAGCGAATAAATTTGTGAAATAGATTTGCAAATAGATTTATTTCTTCATAAAAGTTGAGATATTTATCTTTTATTTAGCCTTTTTTTCATAAAAATGTCAGTTATCAGTCATTCGGTATAATTATAGTTCCTTTTTCAGATGTTCAATCAGGTGTCTCCGAAACCAATTTTTGTGATACATTTTTTGAATTGCTGAATGACAAAGCAAATAATAATATAGGTGATATAAAACTTATTTAAATATTAAAATGTTATATTTACACAAGCATGGCATGATTCTATATGCATTAACTTAATGCATTAGTGCCGATCTACAATAGGCAATTTAAGCCCTAAACCTTATGACTTAACCTCTAAACTATGACGTATTTTCGGTCTTAAACATTTCTCGCGCTGCCTTAAGCCCTAATCTCTAAGTCCTAAGCGAGTTGGCCAACTCCCATCTTTTAAAGCTTAGAGCTTGAGGCTAGGATCGATGTAATTTTCCTCTTAAAACAAAGGCTAAATCTTAAATCACCTATTGTAGACCGGCACTTACCATTTTTGATAATAATACTAACTTTGTTACAAGTGCACTTTTCATTTCTAACAAAAGTAGTAACGAAAGTAATCAAAGATTTTTCACTTAGTTTATATACCATATTAATTTTTTCAAAAATGTATAAACAATTTTTTAGACATTCATGCTAATTTGTCAAGAAATGAGGAAGTTATACAATAGATGAATCTATAGAAAAAAGCAATCAGCAAGGTACACGTTTTAATTCATTTTTATATATGCCATAAGTATTTTTAGAACGAATAGATTCGACAAATACCACTTCAGTTCTAACGCAAGTGGTAACAAAAGTAATCAAAGATTTTTCACTTAATATTTATATACCATATTTATTTTTTACAAAAATGTATAAATGATTTTTTAGATATTGATGTTAATTTGTCAAGAAATGAAGTTCTAGATGAATCTATAGAAAAGAGCAATCAGCAAGGTACGTGTTTTAATTCATTATTATATATACCAAAAGTATATTTAGAGCAAATAGATTTGACAAATACCACTTCAGTTCTAACGCAAGTGGTAACAAAAGTAATCAAAGATTTTTCACTTAATATTTATATACCATATTTATTTTTTACAAAAATGTATAAATGATTTTTTAGATATTGATGTTAATTTGTCAAGAAATGAAGTTCTAGATGAATCTATAGAAAAGAGCAATCAGCAAGTACGTGTTTTAATTCATTATTATATATACCAAAAGTATATTTAGAGCGAATAGATTTGACA